TGCGCAACATTTTCGTGCGTAAGCACCGTTTATACATGAGGCCCCTGATGTGGAAGAGATGGTCAACCTAAAACGCTTCCTCGGCGAGTGGGCCACTTCCTTCTCTGACTGCTGATTGGTTTTACGGCACGGAGCCTTGCTCATGCCCAAGGCTGTCTGCAGGAGGCCCCGACCACTGCAGGCGTCGGCACCGTCAGGCTCCGCAACGTAAAACCGGTCAGCAGTCTGAGTGCTGTGGCACATCAGTCGGGCCACCAGCTGACGCTGTTTTTCTGGGAGGTTGCGCTGGATCTGTAAATGGGGACAGAGAAATCGATTAGCGTACCAGCGACAAATCATCAGGCGCTACGGACTTTGGCATCGTCCCGAATCACAACTTACGCAGGTCGACACACCCGTGCGGATCTCCGATACGGAGAACCCCCGTGGCAGGCCGCATGCGAGGCAGGTCTGTGTCACCACATTATTAACTTTGTGGAAGGGCTGCCCGGACGCCGCAAAGAAAAATGTTGCTGGCTGGTGACAGAAGCCGGGCAGACGTGGCCTGAGCTGAGCGAACCTTCGCAGCCACGAATGCTCCCTTTGACTGAGGGCGATTTTTGCCCTTCCAAAGGTGCCAGATGTTTTGTGATTGGCAATCTGTGAAGATGAGTACACAGGTTACCGGAGACGGTGTAGAACATCAGACTATGTGTGACAAAAATATGAGTTCCATCACACGTTTTACTGGATTCAAAGATATCACGTCAACACGGTTTCCGGATGCTCACATTGATCACCATGTAGTCCCCTTCTGGGCGGGCCGCGTTGAATTCCTCAAGTGTCATATTTATTATGACACTGCTGCGGTGCCCACTGATGGAAAATAGCAACGTCACCAGGCATCCCATGCAGCTGTTTCTAATGGCGATGTCCAGTGGCGATTCGGCCAGGTCATCTTCAAGAAAAAATAGAAACGTGATCATAGCCCTCGGAAACATGACCGGTGCACTTTCCCCATTCTGTATTACTCTCTCTAATGATGTTGTGATGTATCACAACAAATCCATGTAAAGCTCCTCGGGATAACTGTCGTGAAAGGCTCTATGCAAAAACAAATCAAACTGAATTGTGTAGATTTGACAGGTATCGACTTACCTAGGCAGTCAGGAATCTTGCCACGCAGCTCCGTGAGCAGAGCTGCTAGGTCTCCTCGTCGGGGCATCCTCTGAGTCTTTTTGTCTTTCACAGTCTGCCTGTGTCTGACTATTTTTTTGGTCACCAGTTGTACCTGGCATTTCATGTGCCGGATGATGCCGGTCAGCCTTTTCTGGCTTAGTCGGACACAGGGCAGACTGTTATCAACCAGGAACTGGGAAAATTTAGTTATTGCCAATAGGTGGTTTTTAACGGTGGTTACTTTAAATTTCGAATTTAGATGCTCCATCCAATTGTTAATTTGGGAGGGGTCAGCAATGTACTTTAGATGGGCCGGTGGTGGCTCATCCTGATCGCCCCACATGAATCGGACGAATTTTTCAACATTTTTTAACTCGTGGTTATAGTTTTCTATAACTTTACAGGATGCCCCGACTCGGAATAGGGTGGCCTTATATTGAGGCAGGACTTCCTCTATGAAAGACAAGACAATCAAGATGACAGAAAGGCATTGTGCTTCGTTTAATAATATTAAAACTACCATTCCACTTACCCGTGAAGAACAGCTGTGTGGCACGGCCCGGTTTGGCTGCCGGTACTGAAGCGGTGTTGTCCTCGGCCTGAGCCGGTGGCCGTACGAGCTTCTCCAGCTCATCCAGGCGCCTCTTCATTGTCTGCATCTCCTCGTCCTTCTCCTGGGTAGCCTGTCTGTAATTTTCTAAAGCTGCCTTGGCCGCAGCCTGCTTTGCTGAGCTCACCTGGGTTACGTGGACAGATGTGAACTGCTTTTAGGCAATGCAATTTTGTGAAGATACACCACTGCTACAAAATTCAATTTTAATTCAACTTAGTTTAATACCAGCTTCTTGAGCTCCTGCCCTTCGATTTTGTGGCAAATCTTCATGTGGCGATCCACACGAATCAGGCTGGAGGCTGTGCAGCCACGCACAGGGCAATCTACTGGCCCAGAATAACGCTTTGAGGTAATGGCGTTGAGGAGCTTTCGCTCCTTTGGGTCCGTCAACTTGTGCACATGTTTTAAGTGCAAGGATAAATTCATGTAGGACACCCGGCAGAACGGGCACAGCTGTTTTGTCAGTGACATTCTGGGTGCTATATCCTTGCCAAAGAAAGGTAAAACATTCAACTTTTGTGAATAAAATAACATTGATTGCATGACTATCACCTGTCCTGGTGGAACATTAAATTAATATCCATTACGTGCATTGTAAATGCCATTTTTCACAACGGGGTCACTACAACGCACATTAGAAGACAGTTTTCTGATACACGGCTAGATCATTTAATCAATCAACAACAGCGATGAGACTAATGATACTGACAGTGATGATTATTATTTTTGTTTTCACTTTACATTCAGAGTACTCATAGAATTAATACATTTTTATGCATTTAGATGCAGCTCAAAGTGCTTTTCAGTATATTAGACACTAGTTAACAACTGCTATGCATTATACATGCGTTAGGGAACCCGGCATCCCAATGGATTTATTTTTTCTTTTGCACAACAAAAGATAATAGAAATCTATATGAATTCAGAGCAATAAATTAGACATAAAATTATAAAAGGACACCTTTGAATACACGAAAACACCATAACGATTGAGGATAAGCAGGAGTAAAAGTACTGCTGCTGTAACTTTTGAACGGTTCTGCAATTTTAAAGTGCTTACCAAAGTAGGTTAAACAATCGCGAATAAGCATCTCTGAATTATACATGCGTTAGGAAACCCGGCATCCCTATGGCTTTTTTTTTTTTTTGCACGACGAAATACACTATAAATCTATATGAATTAAAATACATTTGACATAAAATGATAAAACGACATCTTTAAATAGACCAAAGCACCATAACCAGTGAGGATAAGCACGAGACA